AACAGTTTGATCCATTGCTTGACATTCGTATCACTCCAGCTTCTGTATCTAAAGTGTTTCCTGCTTAGATTCTTCTACAGCTTGTGGCCCAGACAACATACCTGATATAGTCTTGCAGAAGTGTTCTCCGAAGCTGTTGTCTATACTTTCAAAACGATTTAACAAGTGCTTATCAGAGTTTTGTTTTCCAGTCTGCTGGAAAGCGGCATCTGTTATTCCTATTTTCAAAAATTCTGGAGAGAAATCTAGCTGGCCTAACACCCGTCCCATTAGTCTTCTTCCTATCATAAGCAAGGTTTTGGAATCTTTAATTAATAAATACGTAATCTCTCATACTGAATCTAATAACTTACTTTCTGATCATCAATATGGATTTCGATTTTCTCATTCTACTGCTGATTTGTTAATGGTAATAACTGATAGATTTTATCGTGCATTAGAAAGATGTGAAGAGTCTAAGCCCTCAACAATTCTATACCTTTGATAAAGTCTTTTTCTCTCTTTATAAGGTGTATCAGGTAAAATCTTTATGGTTATTGAATCTTTCCTTACCAATCGTAGTATTAAAATTGTCCTAGATAGACAGCACTTTTCCTCATTTCTTGTAACTTCAGGGGCTTCTTAAGTTTCTATTCTTAGCCCTATACTTTACATTATCGATTTCCCTAAAATTTTTACATCTAAGGTGGCGTTGTTTGCTGATGATACTACCATTTATTCCTATCTTGATAAGAAGCCAACACTCTCTGATTGCTGGAGGGGGCATTTGAGCTAAAAAAGGATCCTACTTCTGATACATCATGAGGTTCTCAGTGGCAGGTGAACTTTAACTCGGATAAAACTCAATTTTTTTTAGCTAATCCTTATTGCAATAATCTAGATCTTCCTACATTTATGAATGGTAATGTACTTGATGAGTCAACTACTCTTCGTCTTTTAGGATTAACTCTTACTTCCAATCCTTCTTGAAACCATATATCAAATCGATTGTGAAATTGGCACCTGCTAAGATTGCATCTCTTTATTGAGCTCAAAATCTCAAATTAGTTCTTGTATTCAATTTTCTAGATTGTAAATTATATGAATCAAGAAAACAAGATGAAGGGAACTTCATCTTGTTAAGTCGTTAATCTTTTAAGTCGTCTGTCAATGGTTACCTTGCTCTACAATCTTCGTCTTTTCCAGTAACTTTCAACTCTAATAGTGGTTGCTTGCAGCCTTGTTGGAAGTGAAGATGTTAAAAAAAAGAAGATATTCCTGTACAAACCAGAATCTATTTATTTTATTACTTAATAAGTATCTCTTTAATTTACTATGTCATATCCAGTTATTATATATATTTTTTTAATATATTAAATCTTTTGAGTTTAATATCAAAATTTAAAGGTTATTTTTTAAATATTTTCAGTGTAAATTCAAAATTATAAAACAAAAACTGCCTTAGAGCAATAAGTATCAAAAAACAAGAAGCAATACTTATTATGCTTCAAGAAGGATTAGAAATATTGCAGAAAAATTTAAGTAACACGAAAGTAACTTAAGTAACAAAAAAATAAATTTTAGTAGATGGAACAAGAGACGCTAGCTCTTTAGAGCAATGCCTATTATTTACAGAAAAGAAAAAAAGAAGCAAGTTGAAGCTTGGCTGCAAGAGCAGGTCCAACTATGTTTACAATGCATTTTTGCACCTTGTTTAAAAGAGAAAGGACATCATTGGATGATCCACTTCAGATATGGCAACAGTATTCCATACAAGGAGAGATTAGAGATTTGTAGAGATAAAAAGTGTAAGAAGTGGCAAGCACAAAAAAAAGATGCAACCTTAGCAGATGCTAATTTTGCATTGGATTTGACATATGATTTTCAAGAAAGATCAGAAGTAAGAGCTAATCCTAAAAGTTGAAGGGTAGATGTACTCATCAAGTACATTACTATTTATAAATAAAAGAAAATCTAGACTATTGGGATAATGATTAGCTAAAAAAACTGAGTTTTATCTGAGTTAAAGAACAGGATAGAAAAATAAGAACAGAATTTCCAACATTAAAAACCCAATTATAGAACATTCTAGAAAAAAACTGAAATAATATTCAAAAAGAAACAACTTAAAAATTAGAAGAATGCCAAGAGTAGTAATGGCAGTGATAAAAGCAAATGACGATTTATTTGATGAAAAGAAAATTTAATTTATTTATATATTTATTATGCTTAAAATATTAAAATAAACATAAAATAAATGAATTTTAAATGTAAAATTAAACAACGATGTATATTTTATTTATTTTACAAAAATCTCTTGAGCTCTAACTTCCATGAGTGGCAGTGTATGTAGTACTTAAAATGTGCGTGTATCAGTGTATGTAGTACTTAAAATGTGCGTGTATCAGTGTATGTAGTACTTAAAATGTGCGTGTATCAGTGTATGTAGTACTTAAAATGTGCGTGTATCAGTGTATGTAGTACTTAAAATGTGGGTGTATCAGTGTATGTAGTACTTAAAATGTGGGTGTATCAGTGTATGTAGTACTTAAAATGTGCGTGTATCAGTGTATGTAGTACTTAAAATGTGCGTGTATCAGTGTATGTAGTACTTAAAATGTGGGTGTATCAGTGTATGTAGTACTTAAAATGTGGGTGTATCAGTGTATGTAGTACTTAAAATGTGCGTGTATCAGTGTATGTAGTACTTAAAATGTGCGTGTATCAGTGTATGTAGTACTTAAAATGTGGCTGTATCAGTGTATGTAGTACTTAAAATGTGGCTGTATCAGTGTATGTAGTACTTAAAATGTGGGTGTATCAGTGTATGTAGTACTTAAAATGTGGGTGTATCAGTGTATGTAGTACTTAAAATGTGCGTGTATCAGTGTATGTAGTACTTAAAATGTGCGTGTATCAGTGTATGTAGTACTTAAAATGTGGCTGTATCAGTGTATGTAGTACTTAAAATGTGGCTGTATCAGTGTATGTAGTACTTAAAATGTGCGTGTATCAGTGTATGTAGTACTTAAAATGTGGGTGTATCAGTGTATGTAGTACTTAAAATGTGGCTGTATCAGTGTATGTAGTACTTAAAATGTGGCTGTATCAGTGTATGTAGTACTTAAAATGTGGGTGTATCAGTGTATGTAGTACTTAAAATGTGGGTGTATCAGTGTATGTAGTACTTAAAATGTGCGTGTATCAGTGTATGTAGTACTTAAAATGTGCGTGTATCAGTGTATGTAGTACTTAAAATGTGGCTGTATCAGTGTATGTAGTACTTAAAATGTGGCTGTATCAGTGTATGTAGTACTTAAAATGTGCGTGTATCAGTGTATGTAGTACTTAAAATGTGGCTGTATCAGTGTATGTAGTACTTAAAATGTGCGTGTATCAGTGTATGTAGTACTTAAAATGTGCGTGTATCAGTGTATGTAGTACTTAAAATGTGCGTGTATCAGTGTATGTAGTACTTAAAATGTGGGTGTATCAGTGTATGTAGTACTTAAAATGTGGGTGTATCAGTGTATGTAGTACTTAAAATGTGCGTGTATCAGTGTATGTAGTACTTAAAATGTGCGTGTATCAGTGTATGTAGTACTTAAAATGTGGCTGTATCAGTGTATGTAGTACTTAAAATGTGCGTGTATCAGTGTATGTAGTACTTAAAATGTGCGTGTATCAGTGTATGTAGTACTTAAAATGTGGGTGTATCAGTGTATGTAGTACTTAAAATGTGCGTGTATCAGTGTATGTAGTACTTAAAATGTGGCTGTATCAGTGTATGTAGTACTTAAAATGTGCGTGTATCAGTGTATGTAGTACTTAAAATGTGCGTGTATCAGTGTATGTAGTACTTAAAATGTGGCTGTATCAGTGTATGTAGTACTTAAAATGTGGCTGTATCAGTGTATGTAGTACTTAAAATGTGGCTGTATCAGTGTATGTAGTACTTAAAATGTGGCTGTATCAGTGTATGTAGTACTTAAAATGTGGCTGTATCAGTGTATGTAGTACTTAAAATGTGGCTGTATCAGTGTATGTAGTACTTAAAATGTGGCTGTATCAGTGTATGTAGTACTTAAAATGTGGCTGTATCAAATGTATGATTTTTATTTATTGAAAAAATGTATGGTTTTCAGTACAGTAGAATCCTGTTAACTCGGGCCCTGGATAAGCGGGATTTTTACAAAGTTAGACAGATTTTCAATTCCCCTTGAACTTTCTCTATTAACCCTCTCTAAAGTTATCCACTTGAGTTGTACCCTGATTAAGTCAGACCATTTGCAAACTTGTACTGTTTTTTAAAAACAGAATTCCAATACTTCAAAAAAAATTTCAAACATAAATTAACATTTTTGCTGATACTCTTCGATTTGGTTAAGTTTCAATTAAATTCTATTTATTGAAATTGTCAAAAGTTGCTAAAAGAAAGCTAACAAATAGAACAATAACAAAAAAAAAATAATAATAATACTAAAAGAACTCGACAAAGGAGAACTATCATTATCTATATCAAAGAAATATGGTATTCCAAAGCAAACATTGTCAGGATGGTCAAAAGAAAAGTACACAATATAATAAGAAGTCAAAAAAAAAAAAAATTTCGGCAAAAAAAGTGAAAATACTAGTCTCCCTAAATGAGAATTTGGTTAAAGCATGTTTCATGTGGTTTTTAAACACCAGACACCAAAAAACATTCCTGTGTCATTCTGTGTCAATAAGTCTCAAAATCTCAATAAGTCTGACATTTTTAAAAAGTCTGTAATAATTCGGACATTCGCTAAGTGAGACAAATGTGTGTATATAGAAGGGGGACATTAAAATGTTGAAAGACATTAAAAACTTGTACTATTATATACTAGACTAAAATTTACTTGTCAAAGTTCAAAAGTTACATGTAAAGTTGACATAATTATTTAAAAAATAAATTGCTTGTATTTTATAAAAAATAATTTTTTTAAATAATTTTGTTTTTGTTATATAAATTGGCATTAACATTACCAAATAAAAAATACCTTGTAAAAAACATGATCATGAAACCGCTGCTTTATGTATTGAATGAGTTTGCATATTTTTTTTTCTAATCTCACAATATCCTATTAAGTTAAAATAAAATTTTTATTTTTTCCCAGTATATTAATAATAATAATAATAATAATAATAAAAAAATGACATTACAAGTGTCAAATTAATTTTTTAACCTTGGTGTTTTTATTTAATATGAAAAATTTATTTTTAATAAGAATAAACAGTTTTTAAAAATATATTCCTAAAAAGTTTAACTAATATAATTTTTAAATTATAAAAGGTACCTTGTTTTGTTTAGCGCGAATTTTTGCTTCATTCATTCGTGCTTCAGACGAACCCTGAAAACCTAAATTTATTTGAAATAACAAAAAAAAAAAAAAAATTAATACTCATGGAAATAGTGAATGGAAATGATATGAATTAATAACGTATGTTTTGCATAGAGATTCTTGATTAAGGTATGAAGAAAAATATATATATATATATATATTTAAAATGTTTTAAAGGGGAATTTAAAACATTGTAAAAAAAAGATAATTCATAGTTATAGTTTTAGTTAAAAACTATGTTGCTGCATAACAAAAACCTTTCTCAAAAAACCTTCCAGGGTCAGAAGCTAATTGTTCAAAAGCAAATATTTCAAGTAAGACATTTTCTCTTTTGACTATCAATTCTGCAACAGCTTCCCATGCCTCAACAACCTATAAAAATTGAGAGTTTTTATTTAACCAATGTTGCTAAACTTCTACTAAAAATGCCTTGGACGCTCCTTCTAGTAAATATATATATTAATACATTGTGGTAATATAACCTCTAGTAAATATATATATTAATATAATATAGTAATGAATATTCTAATAATATTTAATACTATAATTTTTATAAAAAATCTGAGCAAATAAAATTAATACTTCAGAAATTATTTTAATGTCAACAGAATAATATTTTAATGTCATTGCAACTCGATGCTGGAAAGACATCTTTAGAGAATCCCATATTTGTTCAAGACGATCCTGAAGTTTTGATATTAAAGCCTAAATAAAGAAAATACTGAAACATAAAATAAAACATAAAAAAAATAAAAATAAATAAAAAGTAATCTTATTATCTTTAAATTTTATAAATTTCTTAAAAATTCAAAAAGTAATTTTTTTTATTTACTTTTTTTTACTAACTTATTAACATTCAAACTCAAATTAGACTTTCCGTGAAAATAATCTATCATTAAAAACACAATTTAATGATAAGTGTGATTTAGTTGCACACAATTTAGTTCTAGTTTAACTTAACAGCATTTAAATTGTGTGTTACATTTAATTTTTAAAATTTACCTTGTCATTTAGATGCTCAGCTTCAACATTTAATAAGTCTAAAAATATCAATAAATAAAATATTAAAAAACAAAAATAAAATAAACAAAACACAAGATTGTTTACATCTCATGTTTGAAAGAATTTAAACTCATCTTGTAATTTAAAAAATCAAACTATGATTGTTTTTAAGATTTTGGACACTTTTCAAAACTAAATTAAAAATAAAAGAATTGCATCATATTAGATGGAAAAAACATCTCATATTATAAATTTATCTAAGTTATGTTTCTAATTGTTTTTGGTTATTTACAATTTCTTTACTTTTATTTTTCACTTTATAATTTGTAATATAATTTTTTATTGGTGCAACAAGCTTTTGTCTGTTAATTTTTTAATGCAATCTTTTCAGTTTTAAACTTTAGATAACTAAGTTTTAATTGTAAATTAATTTCTTTGAAAACGTAGTTTGTAACTACAAAACATGTCAAAAAAAGAATATGTTTTTCAGTTTGTTGTTTGTGCCACAAAAAAGAAAACACTAACCATTTAAAGATTTTTCTTGTTCTAATCCATCTATAAAAATACAAAATGGATTCCAATGACCTGGCTGAAATTGTTGATGTTTGTTTTTTAGTTCTAATTTCTTTTCTTTCAGATAACTATAAAAATGAAAGTAAGCGCAGAAAAAAAACAAACAAATAATTATAAAAAACTAAATAATACAATGAAAGATATAAGCACTGACCTTATATACTTTGTTTGTTCTTCATTCATATAAAGTTCTTTTGAGTATAGATGGTAGATAGAGAATAAATAATCATTCCCCTAACAAAAAGAAAATTTTGTTTTGAAAACTATTTTAAACTAATAACAACACTATATTTTATAAGATATCAACCAATAACAACCCATAAATCATTAAACTACTTTTTTATTAAGTCTTTATGAACTTACAGTTTTTACTTTTGTAACTTACAGTTTTTGAAATAAACTTTTGATAATCATCAAAACTGATATCAATCTCAGAATTCTTCTTCTGCAGTTGCTCCTTTTCATTGCTGATTTTAATAATATTTTTCTAAATTTATATTTATCATATTTAAATTTCACTTTTTCTTTCAAGTTATTAGTTTAAAAAATTTATAATAATTATTTTTTTTTTTATAGAGGGAGAAAATAAGGTAGAAGATGATGGACAAAAAGGAGTGTCTAAGAAAATCAAAATGCTTTAGAAAAAATTCAGTGAAATTTTTCTAAAGCATAAAAAAATAAAAATAAATATATAGAATTTTTTCTAAAGAAAATTTTTTTTTATATATTTATTTCCCCAAGGCAAAAAGTAGCACCATGGCATGGTGCTATGGTGCAACCAACCAAAATAAGAGTGCTTTACTTTTGGAAATAAATGACCAACGAAAAAACTAATGAAAATTTTCAAAGAGTTCAACATTTTTTTTGAAGAAATTAATTTTAATTACAACTCAGTTAAACTGCTAATTCAGCTGTTATGGTTACAAACTGTTACAGTTTGGTCAGAAGCAAAGTTAAAAGGAGTCTTTTAATGAAGACAGCTAAAAAAATATTTCTTCATTTAATATTTTTATATAGTTTTGCCTCTACTTTCACCATCTCTACAAGTTTCACCATCTCCACAAGCTTCCTACACGATTTATTTTAAAAGCTTATGGTAACATTTTGTGATGTCTTTTTTGTTACCTGACAATATAATAAAAAAATAATTAAAAAAAATTTACTTTTGTATATCTGTTATATACACAGCCCTCAAAAGGGTAAAAAGATTACTACATCTGTCCAACAACATCTGTGGAGTAGTCTAATATCATTACAAAATTACAAAAATTACACTTTTGTTCAAAATCATCTGTATTTTTTTTTACTCTAACAACATCTGTCAAATCATCTGAAAATTCAATGATTCTTAATAACATCTTTAGGAAAATGTAATTACATCTGGTAATTTTTCTCCAAGTCCAATAACATTTAGAAGTATTTTCTCCAGATGTAGTTTCATCTGAAATAATTTCTATATGTAACAACATCTGGTTAAAATAATGCGTTAATAGTTAATTTTATTTTACAGATGTAGTTAAATCTGAAAAAATTCCTATATGTAACAACATTTGGTTAAAATTTAATGCGTTATAAGTTAATATTTTCTCCATATGTAGTTACATCTGAAAAAATTCCTATATGTAACTTCATCTAGTTAAAATAATGCATTATTAGTTTATATTTTTAAAAACCCACAGATGTTATTACACTTTGATGATTTAAAAGATGTAACTACATCTGTAGAATTTACAGATGTAGTTGCCCAGATGTTGTTATACATAGATAATTTAAAAGATGTAACTACATTTGTAATATTCATTTAATTTTTGCCCAGATGTTATAAGACATCAATGAAATTACAGATGTTGTTGGATAGATGTTATTATACTTCATTGAATTTACAGATATTGTTGGACAGATGTTATTAGACATGGTAAAAACTGTTGTTACCCTGACCCCTCAAAACTAGGTTTGGCATTTGGCAATGCCACCCTAACTGCCAGCCTAACAGTGTCCGAGGTCTGCATTTTTTTGCAGACCACGCTATTTTAAATCGCTATTTCATTTGCTTTTTCAAATAAATAAAAAAATGCAAAAGGAATACTTTATTTAAATTTTGAATAAAATAGTTAAAAAAAAAAACGTCAATATGAAAGTTTGGAATTAAATTCTAAACAATTTAATTTAAAAACACAGCAGCATCACCTAAGATTTATTTAAAAAAAACACAAAAAAAAACAAAAAACATTTAAAATAAATTCTAAATTAAAAAGTAAAAAAAATCACTTCTCTATCATCTGATTTTAGAATCACTGGAGTTGTGTATAGTGCCAGGTTTCTTACTAAAAGCTATTTACTATCTAAAGCAACAGTTTCTTTGAAGAAATCAAGCTTACTACTGAGTTTGTTGTCTGACTGTTTAAATCCAGAAACATTTGTTACAGTACTTGATTCATTGCACACTTGGTACTTAAACTCAACTATAATTGAACACTTGGTACTTAGACTCAACTATGATTGAACACTTGGTAATTAGACTCAATTATGATTAAACACTTGGTACTTAGACTCAACTATGATTGAACACTTGGTACTTAGACTCAATTATGATTGTATTAGGTCTACCAGAGCTTTTTTATGAGAAATAGAAAATTATAGCTATGATCCTTTATATAAAAATTTTTTAAGACTGATCACTTACATAAAAATTGGATCACTTGGAAAATAAAAACAAGAAAGTCATCAAAAATGATGTAGAATAAATTGTCAATAAATTGAAAAGATTAATCTTGCTTAGCTAATTTATTAGTTTTTATCTGCTAAAGAATTACTAAATCATTTATACCAAAATGCAGACTTATTATTATATATGCAGACATTTGTAAATTTAATCTCAATAACTTGCATTCGCACACACACAAATATATGTAAAATAAAAACATATAACACTAACCTTGTTATTGCTGGCACTTGAACTATTTCAAAAGAATAAAATGTTCAACACTAATTTTTATTAGAAACTAAATAATAAAACTAAATAATAAAACTAAATAATAAAACTAAATAATAAAACTAAATAATAAAACTAAATAATAAAACTAAATAATGAAACTAAATAATAAAACTAAATAATAAAACTAAATAATAAAACTAAATATTAAAACTAAATAATAAAAAAAGATAATAATAACTTACTGGTATTGATTTGGCTAAAAAGTAATGAGTAATTTTTCTAAAAAAATCCTAGATAGGCCTGGAAGCTTATAGAAATTTATGATTTGAGTATATAATGAACTCCCTAGAAATATATCCAATTGGAAAGATCAGGATTTGAAATCCTAAGTAACAGCAAAGATCAAGCATTAAAAAATACTATATAGCCTTCAGCGACTGAAGTCAAAAGAACTATATTGCAATCAGGATTTGCTGACAGAAAAAAACTGGTTTTAATAATTTGGAATGGCAAAATAAACCAACAGAATAGAAGAGCATTTAAATCTGATAACCGAAAGCAATTTGAGACTTTGCGCTGCTTACCATGCTTTGCTAATAACTGTTACTCTGTATGCATTTTATGTCATGACAATTTTACCTACGTGTTAAGCTAAAACTTTTATCTATTGGAATATTTAAATTGTCTTTTAATATCGTTTAAGTGGCATTTATTTAGAAAACATTTCGTCATAGTTAATTATTGTAAAAACATTTTCATCACAATTTTGAAACAATTTTATTTTTAAAATTTTAAACCAAAAAAAAAAATTGTAATAAAGCAAACAAAAAATTATTATGCTATAATTTTATATATAATTTTTTTTAAGAAATAAATAAGAAGAAAATATAATCTTTTTAAATACCTAATTTTGATTTCATTAGTAATATTTGTTATGATTATTTTGTTTAAAAGATTTTTACCCAGATTAAAATTAAATTTAATTATTTTATGATTAGTGCATTTCAATGGGGTACATTGAAATGAGTGTATTTCAATGGGGTACATTGAAATGAGTGCATTTCAATGGGGTACATTGAAATGAGTGCATTTCAATGGGGTACATTGAAATGCACTAATCGCAAAATTTAACTTTTAACAATTTAAATATGTAAACTGAGTTGAGTTACATTTAGATTTTTGATCAAAACTTTTAATTTTGCAATTTTCAAATAACTTTTTAAATTTTCTAAATACTAACAAAATCTAATATAATATCTAAAAACATTTAAAATACAATCTAAATACAGCACTTAATATCACAGAATATTCTAAACAGACACAAATAAAGACATCACTGAATACTGGACGGCAATATGATACAAAATTTTTTGTTTTTTAATGACTTTTCTAACCTTTTGTTATAGTTACCTAACTATTTGTATTTAATTATTAAAAATAAGAATTTATTTAAATGTTACTTTTTATGTAACTTTGCTGTATAGTTTTTACCGTGGACTCTATATCAAAACAGGCTGCTCCTTTTTACTTTTTTTTTTTTTTAAATTAAACAATATTTTTAACACTTTTTTAATGTTTCATTTAATGTTTATGATTTAATTTAATAAATGAAAGAATATTTTATAGCTTACTATTAATATAATACTTATAACTTACTGTTCCTTCGTTTTAATACTTATAACTTACTGTTTGTTCGTTATAATACTTATAACTTACTATTCGTTCGTTATAATACTTATAACTTACTGTTCATTTGTTATAATACTTATAACTTACTGTTTGTTCGTTATAATACTTATAACTTACTGTTTGTTCGTTATAATACTTATAACTTACTGTTCGTTCCTTATTATACTTATAACTTACTGTTTGTTCGTTATTATAACTATAACTTACTGTTCGTTCGTTATTATACTTATAACTTACTGTTCGTTTAAACACATACTACAAGTTATAATTATATAAATATGTGTAAAATTAATTTATATTTATTCATATAATTTATTTTAATTATTATTTAGATAAATTTAGATAAGGCCCAAAAAATATCAAGTCCAATAGTTTTAACTTTAATGAATTGTTTCTCTTTTGAGTAAATAAAGGAAACAAGAACATAAAAAGATATAAACAGAAATATAATATACCATAATATAAAATAATAATATGTCAAATATAAAATCTATGAAGAGTTATGTAGGTAAAAACTTGACAAACAAAACTGTAATGAGGTGATGAAATATAATAAAAACATAATAAAATAATAAAAAATAATTAAAAAATTAAACATACTTGCAACTACACTTGGAATTTGATGAAATAATTTCTTTGACTTTATTAGATGTCTTCACTTCCTGCTCTAATTGAAGTTCTTTATTTACAATGGATGAATAGAACTTACTTTTTTCCACCAATTTTGACATAAATATCATTTCACAAATTACTGGGTCACTTCCTTCCACATTCTTAAAAATAATTTTTTTTTATTAAAAGTGTTAAAGCAAAGTTATTTCTTATGTAACTTTAGTCTCAGTTAGCAAAGTAAAGAAAGGTTTGAAGTGTACTAGGTAAGTACACTTTAAATGTACACAGCGTACTATGTAAAGACTTGAAGTGTACTACGTAAGTATGATGAGCAATGAATGCCAATGAAATACTTATTGTTAAATTTGCAAACCTCATTAAAATGAAAATGATCTTTGGGTAAGAAAGCTCTAATTTCATTATAAACTTCATGTATTTCTTCAATAATGTTTAAATGGTTATCCAAATCTTTTATTTTTCCTATGTCAATCTTAAAAAAATTTAACAAAAAATCAATTGTCAAAAAAAAAAAAAAATTAACAAAAAACATTTAAAAATTAAATTAAACCTCATTAAAAATATCCTCACATATTGAATTCTTCTCAATAGTTAATGGATTGTCAATTGATGTTACACATGTTTTTGAAGAAGGCATTTTAAAAACCCCCTGTAATATTTCAAAGAAAAAAAAATTACAAACAAAATTTTAGTATGTTTGTATGTTGCAAAACTTACATACATACAAACTTTTTTGATTATTTTTTTGTTACTGATAGTGGCATTGCACCTGTCTTAGATATACTACTACATAAAAGCTCCTTAGTTCTATGGTTTTATTTTAACAAAAGCCTCTATCAAATACCCTGATGAATATCATGCTATATTTTTTTAAACAAATGCAAATATCATTACTATTCCTTTTTCTATTCTGTCAGAACTATAGAGTTTATATTCAACCAATTCTAGAATCATGTTCACCTATTTGGAACCCCTTAAATGATATGTGTTAGATACAAAAGATCAGGAATAATACACAAGAGTTGTCTGTAAAAGGTGTTGTATTTCTTATTGTGATTATTATTAATAATAGTGATTATGCTTTAAGTTTTATTATTTTTAATTTTGACTCTCTTGAACGCCGCAGAATAAAATTCAACTTTAAAATGACTTATCTTTTTCAGAGTTTTTCATATTTGCTCCTACTCACTATTCAACAATTCTCAAAAAAACACAACTAAGATATTTTTAAAGATTTTGCAAAAAAATAATTAAAATATGAAATTTCCTACGATTGCTCTGTATAGTTCATCTTCATACCTGATTGTATAGTTCATCTTCATTGTCTGGGTTTAAATCAAATATAAAAACATGTAATTTTCAGAGAGTACTGCATTAATTTGCTTGATGTAACATAATGACCTTGATGTTACATAAGCGTAATTTTTTTATTACCTCTATCATCTTTTTTTTATTTTCTTTAAATGCAAGTATATTGAATAACAAATACTTTATTATAAATAGATAAATAGAATAAATAAAACCTTTCCAGGAACTTTAACATTTAGAACTGCAGGATGAGTAAAGCCTAGAAAGATTTGAAACATAATAAATTAAAACTAAATAATGTAAAATTAAATCAATATTTTGTTTTAATATCAAGTATATAGCCAAAATGTCCAATAATTATATTCCTGTCCAAGCTTAATCAAGCTTGGACAGGAATATAATTATTCTGAACCATGTATATAATTTTTTGTTGCTGACATTTTGACTACAGCTGTTTATATGTTTTAACAATTAAATATATTAGAAATGTATTGAAAATAACTATTTTAAATCACATTAAATCGTTATTTAAATCGATTTAAATCGTTATTATTTTAAAAAGTCTTTATATTAGGCAAAAACTTTTAAATAAAATAACAAATTACTTCTAACGATTCTTTATAAAATAAACACATTTTATTTAAATTACCAAATAACATTGAGTATAACTTTTTTTTATTTATATGTATATTTATATTTGATATATATTTATTTATATTTTTTATGATAAATATAAATGCTTGGAAGTTTTTATTTTAAATCTTTTAAACAAAGATATCACTATTAAAATAATTTTAAGTTTACTTTAAATTATGATAAAAATGAATTTATGAAAAATGAACATTATGAAAAATGAAAAAGTTCAAAATGTTCTTTATAAAAACGTTTTGAACTTATTCATTTCTATCATAATTTCAAATCTCTATTTATCTCTTATTCCTCCATGTATGGAATACGGTTATGTGATGTGCCGGGTACCCAATTTAAACCCAGGGACCCGGTAATTTGGCTGTGTTACCGGGTACCCAGAATCAGTCATTTTGTTGCAGTACGCAACACCGGGTATCTCAAAAGAAACTTTTAATAAAAGTTAACCTTGAGTGCGGTAACTATTTGTTTAAGTAGTACTTTAAATTGTGTAAAAATATTGTTAACAGGATTGCTTTTCGTTTAAACTTCAACCAATAAATCTCTTGATATAAGTCTAAGAGTGTTATAAAGTCAATAACCACAAAGCCCTATTTAGTCAATATTGATGTGTCTCACTTAAAATATTTTTTAAATATATTTTTGTAAAACAATCAGAATAAAGTGCAAAAACAAATTTGATTTATTTTAAATTTTTTTATTGATATTTGAACAGCTTGAAACAGCTTCTTTTTATTTCGTGAGAGAATTTTTACACATCAGAATTTTTCGAAGTTAATAGAGTTAATTTTAATTTTAAAGCTCTTGGTGTTTTTAGCATTAACAACGTCAGACGGCATGTTATTCCAAATAAGAAACTTGAGGGAGAAAGAATATTTAAAGACATCGATTTTTTTTAGTTTGTGTAATTTGAATATGTGACCCCAAGTGTAAATATACCTGTTTATTTAGGCAAACTTATTTAGCGCAAATTATCCAACATTGTTTTGTAAAAACAATTCAGCCCTAGAGGTTTTACAAGCTTATATTCCAACTTTTACGGACCCGGTCCAGGTACCCTGACTTGGGCTCGGTATTTTCTTCCAGATACCCAAAATTGTGGACTCAGCATAAACTGTTTCCCACACATCTCTAATACTGTTATTATATTTGGACTGGTTCTTCTAATGATGCTGCTTCTCTTCTGGACAAGGTCCAAATTTACGCATTGTAAACATAGTTGGACCCGCTTTATCTGATAAACTCTTTCCCATTGTCGTAAAGTTGCATCTCTTTCTCTTTTCTACAAATACTATCATGGTCGCTGCTCAAAGGAGCTATTATCTCTAGTTCCATAAACTAAAACACAATCTTGATTGACTCATCATTCAGAAAAGTCTCATTCTTTTACTGTATCTGTTTATGCATATTCTAAAAACTTTTAATCATCCAGTTTTTTTCAAGCATTGGCACTCTTTCTCATCTTCATGTTTTCCTGACTCATACAACCTTCAACTTTTTAAGTTTTTTGTCAACTGTTTCCTTGCTCTATAAATCTACATTTTTTTTTCTCCTAGTAATTCCCAATATAATAGCGGTTGCTTGCAGCTTTTGTAGGAGTAAATTATAATTAAAAAAAAAAGGCTAAGTCTGACAACAAAAACTTTCTTTCTAGCTTAGTTTAGCATTTAGTTTAGTATTTTCAGTGCATTTTTGAAATATTCAAATTGTCAAATTATCTAAACAGCCATAGTCAAATTGTCCAAAAAAAAAGACTGCTTAGAAAAAGTGCAAAGGAAAGCAACTACATCAATTTAAAAATTCTCAAAAAGCAATCAAAATATTGACAATAAACTCATGAGTAAACAAATAACAACTTTGTTAAACTTTTCCAGCAATTAAATAAAAAAAGACTATCATAGTGTAGTTTTCACACTCGCTAGTACCAGTTACACACTCACTAGTACTAGCTAAAACCTGTTGAATACTCTATTACTATAGTATTTTATATAATGATTCATTAAAATAGTGAATTTGTAAATTCTTTAAATGATATATATTTATATTATGATATTGAGTTTTTTGTTTGATGTTGATTCTTATAAAAAATTCTCCAATTTGCAACTTTATATTTTTTACTTTTTCAAAAACTATGTAGTTGTATGAACTTTTTTTATATTTAAATTAACTTTTAATATTCATATTTATAATTATTATTTATACTTTAATTTATGTTTAAGGTTAAGTTAACTTTAAATCAGAGAAAATTGTAACAAAGTTATAAATAAAAATTATTAGTTTAAAAAAAATTAAAAAAGTTTTACCTAAATCTTCATTTTCAGACGCATCTACAGTGGATACAGTTGAGGCCACACTACATGGTCTTTCAACATCAGTGAATTGCAGTGTGTTATTTAAGTCATCGTATCTTTTTAATACAGTGCTATTCTATTTGTTGGTTTTTTTTCATATAAAAAAAGAAAACTAAACATTTTTAAATGTGTAAAATTTAAGAAAAAAAAGAATTTTTTTAATGTTTTTTTTTCAATTTACATGATGGAATTTAAAAGAACATGCATGCTACTATGATGTTAGAAAGTGCATCAACGCCTAGATGCTACTATGTTTATCCAAATAATAATTAGAACAGATACGTTTTTATCTATTTTTTTATTCAAACATTGCAATTCCAAACATATCAGCAATTTTAATTTATTTAATTATGCAAATATTGCAATTCCAAACATATCATTCACTGATAATTATTTATCCATTTGTAATATTTTTTTTGCTTCATTTCTTTTTTTTTTTTAAATTGTATATTTAAACAAATTAAGCTTATTATAGAAAATTTTTTGTATTAAATTTAATAAAAATTATTATAAAGCTATTATATATATATATATATATATATATATATATATATATATATATATATATATATATATATATATATATATATATATATATATATATATTATATATATATATGTATATATATTTACAGGGGCTCTTCTCCCCCCTCCTGTCCTAAGGAAATTTAGTAGAATTATTGCTGAAAATCTTATTTCAGCAATAATTCAAATATTGTTTTTTTGTGATAAAAAAAAAATTGTTAAAAACATTAAAAAAAATAAATAGTCCTCAATTTTAAATTTGAGCGGCGCCCAGATCGACGCCCAAATATGGTTGATACTGTTGAAAACGGTCAGAATAGCCCCTGATATATATATATATATATATATATATATATATTATATATATATATATATATATATATATATATATATATATATATATATATATATAAGGGTTCGGAAATTTACATGCATGCATGCATGCGCATGTACGTGCGCACGTACATGCGCATGTAAATTAACGGTAACAAAAAATTTAAATTTAATAAGGTCATTCTTTTGAAATATTTTTAAAGTTAATTTAAGTTTTGACTCATTTTTCTCTATTATTTTGCTTCAAAAACTATCGTAAGTAATGATTTGCATACATTTGAATCATATACATTTAATTACAAAATTGTTTCTCGTTAGAAAAAAGCTATAATGAGTCAAAACGAAGTCGCAAAATATTTAACCGACTACAATCGTCAAACTAATTATGGCAAGTGCAAATTATGTGATAAACGTGTCCAGTGGTTCAAAGAACGTCTTGCAGCACACAAGAGATCATCCTGTCCAAATGCCAGTCTCGAAGAAAAACAACTGTTTTCGAAACGCAAATCAAAATCACCAGCACATCCTTCCACATCCTCTCAAAATGAACACACTCAACCGATGCAAGCCTCACAAGAATCGCTTTCACATGTAGCTGACACAACAAATGGAGAATGGAAGGCAGATGTTGACATGAAATTATCAAACTACTTCTATAGAACTGGCATTTCTCTACGACTAGTTGAATCTGATGCATTCAAGGATTTCGTTAAGGCGCTCAATCCAGCATACGCAGCTGCTATGCCGAGTGCAAAAACCTTATCAGGACCGCTGCTCGATAAGCACTTTAATAAGTGCTCTGCTGCTGTCAATGAAATCATCCAATCTCACGGTAATCTAACGTTGATATCAGATGGTTGGACAAACATCAGAGGTGATCACATCGTTAATTTCTGCGTGAAGGCACCGGGTCAAAAAGCTATTTTTTATTCATCTATCGATACCTCTGGAATCATTCAGAACTCAGTTGCAGTTGCTGCTGCTATCATCCAAGTCATCGACAAGATTGGTTCACAAAAGTTCTGCAGCTTTATTTCTGATAATACACCTGTTATGAAGTCATCATGGAAGATAATCAAAGAAACATACCCACACATCTCAGCAAGTGGTTGTAGCGGCCACGGCATGAATTTATTAATTAAAGACATTGCCAGTACCACAGAAGCTGCAAAAACAATCAAAGAGTTGGAAAAGATCATCAAGTTCATCAAAAACCACCATATGGTCAAGTCAATGTTTGATGAATATCGACATACAGCAAATGTCACTCAATCTCTCTGCATGCCTGTTGCTACACGCTGGTTTAGCTTGTACAATGCAATGAACTCTCTTCTTCTCTCCAAGTATGTTTTGATCAAGCTAGCTGACGAGGAAAACGACGCATTAAAAGAAATTCAACCCAAAACCACATCAGCAGCAGTCCTGACTTTAATCAAATCCCCTGCCTTTTGGACTCGTTTGGAAAAGTTAGTTAAGGACATTGAGCTTCCTTCCAAAATGATCGGAAAGTTGGAAGCTGATGAAGCTCGGCTCTCACTTGTCTACCACTATTTTGGTCAGCTCTTCAACCATTATGATGATGACTAGAGTATTCAACAAAAAGTTCAGTCGCGACTTGATTTTATTTTCACGCCAGCCATGGGACTAGCTTACATGCTTACGCCAAAGCACACAGCAGACGACTTATATTTTGGAGATGACAAAATTGACATTATTACAGCCACATTTGATCGAACAAGCGAAATTCATTCGGATATTGCTGACAAAGTGCGAGAACAACTGATCGAGTTTAGTGGAGAAATGACTACGTTGCCCCAGAAACGAAAGGATACAATTTACAAAATGAGCGCAAAAAACTATTGGAGCATTATTGGTCGCAACAAGTATCTGGAACTTTATCAAGTGGCAGTTTCCATCAATCAGATGATAAGCACATCAATTGCAGCAGAAAGAACTTGGTCGATCTTCAGATTTATTCATTCACGCCTTCGAAATCGTCTAACAAATGAACGAGTAGAGAAGCTAGTTTTTCTATATACAAATAACGTACTGATGGATACTCGTGACAAAAACGACTATATACAAGATGAAGGAGCTATGATCGAAGAACTTGAGCAAGAATTTGCAGAATAAGACATAAAAAGTTATCATAGATTGAGTGTATTTTGCAGCTAATTATTGAATTTGAAATTGAAGTTGTTTACGATTAGAAGTATTAGAAAATTAATTTTATGTTTTTTTTCAACACAATTGATTTGCATAAAATTTGATTTACTAGCTTAATCTACATGCCCATGTACATGCATGCATGTGCATGTAATGTATGACATGCGCATGCATGTTGCCAAACCCTAATATATATATATATATATATATATATATATATATATATATATATATATATATATATATATATATATATATATATATATATATATATATATATATATATATATATATATATATATATATATATATATATATATATATATATATATATATATATATATATATAAAATAATTTGTACAGTAAAATAAAATTACCATTAGGAGTGATGGAATATTCTCATCAGAGTTGAATTCAACTTTCTAATAAAAAAAATATTTATATTAAACACTTAACATCATGATACTTTAACTTAATATTTTTAAACAATGTTTTTTTCCACATTATGTTAAATCATTGTTTAAACTAAATGAAATTATAGAATTATAAAATAAACTAAAATTACGTAACTATAAAATTAAATAAAAAACTCAAAATAGCTCAATAATGCTTTTTGTGAAGAGCCTTTTTCAAATTCTAATGATATTATTACAAAAAGCATAAAATTTTTAAATATTCTTTCTATCCTTCTTTAAAGGATGTCAACATTTAACAGCTTACTGTGCTGCTAATTGATCTCCATGAAATAGTTGCATCTGGATATTCAGCTTTACAAGTCAGTCTCTCACTTCTAGCCTGCACTGCCAAACCTTTTAAAAAAGTGTCACAATAAACAAAGTGAAGCAATATAAAAGGTAGTATAAAAAGTTATATGAAAAAGTTATATCAAAGCTTATACTACAGCATTGAGTTCTGTACTTTTGATGGTCTTAAGCAAATTCCAATATATTTTTATTTGCAAACTGAACTGCTTTGAAACTATTATCTTGAATGTTTTAATATTCAATTATAAAGACTTTTCTTTCATAACATTTTATAAAATAGACATCTGTTACTTGGAGTTACTAGATATTTTTTTCCTCCACTAGCTTAGCTGATCCTTCGGGTATCATGAACTATCTTAGCTGATCCTTAGGGTATCATGAACTAGCTTAGCTGATCCTTAGGGTATCATGAACTAGGGTTCATGATAACTAATTTATAATAATTGATGCTTGTCTATTTTTTTTAACAAATTACAGCTACATTTAATTTTGCAAGCAAAATCTACCTTTTTGTAATTTAGGAAATTAAAATAGAATTCAAAATGATTTTGTGGAAAAAACATTTTTTGGTTTTTTATTCACTTATTCAAAAAACACTTTTTCACATAAACATTTAAAATGCTTTTTAGTATTAACATTTATTCAAAACACTTTTTCACATAAACATTTATTCAAAATGCTTTTTAATATTAACATATATTCAAAAGTTTAATGAGCATTTTAGTAGATTTTTTAATATTTTCATTTTAGTTTTCATTTTCAGAAGTTTTATAAATGATTAAAACTTTAAGAAAACAAATTTTTGTTTTAAAAAAATTATTTTAAAGTTCACTTTTTTCTTTATCACTTTTTCTTCTAATTAATCAATTTAAAACTTTATTTGTTAAATTTCAAAACTAAATTTAGATCTATTTATTAAATTTATTAACATCAAACAACTATAAAGAAATCTAAATTCTAATGATATTATTACAAAAAATGGGATAGGAAGAAGCTTAAAGAGAAAAAAAGAAAGAACTTAAACCTTATTTTTTAATTTTTTTTCATAAATATGTCAAAAAAATTGTGTGAAATTCAAGCAATTTATTGATTTTTAGTAAATATTAGGTGTGTTAAATGGGTGTTAAGTGGGGGTAAATGTGTGTTAAGTGGGTGTCAAATGGATATAAAATGGGTGTTAAACAAGGAAACAGATATAAAATAAACTATTTTGACTTTGACTTCCTAAATTAAAATTTAATGATTTCTAGAAAACAAACAAAAACATATTTCAATTTTGCAGTAAACAAAAAGCTGATACATACTGAATTGAAAAGATTTTTAAGATCATCGCCAAATAATTTCTGAAGTTCATAATCAGTCATGCTCTGAATATCAAAACACTTATCTTCCATACAACTTATTTGTTCTTTGTTTGTGTGTTTATTGGGATTAATGTTAAGAAAGCTAGATCTTGTATTCTTTGAATTGGTAAGATCATTTTCTTTTCTTTTGGTAATATCATTTTCTTTTTCTAGCAATGAATAACAAGATAGCTGAAAATGAAAAAATTATTAGTTAGGCTTAATGATTCAACAATCCAATATAAATTTTATTTTAACCATATCTGTAACGTTTTAAAAATTATGAAACAAAAGTTCTAACATTTCTTTCCTTTAATTTTTCAACTTCCATTTTTATTTCACTTGATCTAAACATATATAACATATACAACTTTTTTATAAAATATATATTTTAATTAAAACTTACACTAATTTCTATATTAAAATATATACAATTAACTATCTCATGTAAAATATTCAACATATACAATTATCTTTAAATTCTGTGCTCTATATAGGTATTCATCCGTCAATGATATCAGCAACCATTCTAGGTATATTTGATTGTATATATGCTATGCGCTCTGTCGCGTTTAAAGCAGCTTAAATTTTAACCAAAAATCATTTTATTGTCATGACAACTTATTGAATTACAAAAATAAATAAAAATCACAAATTAATGCAAACTAAAATTTACAAATTTGATGTTTATTTCAAACATTTACAAAACTTGTATTTCATTTCAAACATTTTAAAACTTTGAATTATATTTCAAACATTTACAAATTTTGAAGTTTATTTACAATATTACAAAATATGGAAAAAATGTCTAAAAACCTTCTAAAATTTGTTTTTAATGAATTTCATTTTCCTAAAAATTATTTTTATTTCGATTTTAAAATAGAAATTTAAAAATAAACTATATTTATTCAATTTTCATGTTAAAAAAAAAAAAAAAAATCCTCCTTCAAATGAAAAACTAGTAGCTTTTTTAAAACAAATGAAAAAAATTAGGTTACCTGGGTTACAATGGTTACAACCATGGTTTCAGATAATACAATATAAACTTTTACAGGTAGTTACAAATAGTTGGGAACAATATATTGATTTTGGTTAATCATAATAAATATCTGTAATTATAATATATGATTTATTAATATTATAATTGTAAAAAACTAATAAATTTAACAGCAATTATTGTTAACATAAGTAATTATTATAAAATTTATAATAAGTTTTCATTTAAATTGTATAAAATTTTGTAAACTAATTCATAACAAATCTAATTATTCAGTTTGAATTTTTCGTAAATGTTGATAAGCTCGTTCACTAATGTTTAGCGCAGGAAAAAGCGGTGACAAATTATACAACTGCATAAGTGATAACCCGCATAAACCAAGATAACTATGCATCACATCTAAATATAAAAAATACTTTCTTTAAATAAATAAAAATAATTTTTTTAAATATAAAAATCTTTTGAACAAAAGATTTCTAAACTCAATGTTAAAATTTTTTTTTTTTTAAATAATTAAAGAATTTAGAAGTAAAAAGTTAACAGATTAACAGATTTCATTATAACAACTGAGGTTTATATAAATTTATATACATATAATTTTATAAATTTATATTATTATTTTTAAAAATTTATAAAAACTTTATATAAATATAAATATATATATATATAAAATATACTTTAAATATCAAATGTTTTACAAAATAAAAATTGTCAAACATTTACTTGCATTTTGCACAGGATACCCAGAATATTGTTTTTTGGAAAAAATTCACAACTCTGTTAAGTGTTTATAAAATCTTGAGAAAATTTTAATAAATACTCATTTGTGCCAAGAATCTCAGACCCAGGGAATGGGGAATAATGGCAACGAGGGGAGCTAAGGGTCAAACCCAACACTTTTTAAAAATTTTTCAAATAAACTATAACAAATAAGTTGAACAAAAAGTCAAAAGATTTTTTTTAAAATTTGCATCAGACCTCATTGTCCCCCGTATAGTGCCACGATCCCTGTGACTAGCATGCTACTAGCTAGCTAGGTTGCTTTGAGGTCAACTTACATGATTCTGGCATGTGGTATGACTAATATAATATATGGCATATGGCTAATATATGGCATATGGCTGACTAATATATATAATATATGGCATATGGCTGACTAATATATGGCATATGGCTGACTAATATAATTTTAGGGTAAAGATATATTCAAAATCAAATACAATTGAATTATTAAACACAAAAATAATTCTACTAAACACAAATATACCAAATTACAAATCTTTATTTTATATTATCATACAAAACATTTTTGAATGATCATTTTTTTATCACATGCGTGTATTTATGAATGCGTTAGTACAAATGCATTAGTACTCGTCATTATTAAAAAAGACTTACATAACAACACAACCTTACATAACAACACAACCTTATATAACTTACATAACAAATCAAATTTACAACCTCATTTTGAGAGGGGTAAAAACTTTGCATGGTCATTACTTTCAAACACTAAAAGATAATTTTATAAAATTTGAAACCTGTCGATTAATTTAAATTTAGTATAAAATGGTAAATTAAAATATTTTAACTCATTGCCCTCACATAAGGGCTTGGAGTGTATTTTTTTTTGTATTTTAGTATTTTTTTTTAATTTGGTTAACCACTTACACACGTGGTTACCTCGGATTCACCACTGGTATGTTAAATATATCAAAAAGTCCTGAATCCACCACTACCTCGTGGATAACCACTTACACACATGGTTACCTCGGATCCACCACTCATATGTTAAACACATATTGACAACTTTAATTCAAATTACAAAATTTTCGAGCAATTCCGAGCAATGGAACTTTTACCAATTAAATTAAAAAGCCTATAATTTTATGAAACAATTGAGCTTATATGTGAGCACCTATGAGATATTTTTTGCAATCACTTGTTTCTAAATGAAAGAATATTTGTTTTTAGTAATTTACAACTTTTTTTAGTAAATATGAATATTTTAATCAAAATTTTACTTTAACTTCAAACATCTGACAAGTTAAATAAATATAATTTTTTTTGCTCTTATCTAAATTTGTTTAGCCCAATATGAATTTACTATTTAAAGTTAAAAAATCAGAAAAATAATTTTTTTAAAACTCTGGGTACACTGTGTGTTGGCTAACAACATTTTATTTTATTTTTTTTATATATTTTTTATATTAGCTTGAATAGCAAAAGTATGCATCAAGAATTATTGTTTTGCATTTAGCAAAAAAAAAATTATTACATTCATAACAAAAAAAATTAATAAGAAATATCTTTTTATATGTGTAAAAACAAATATGGTTTTATACACAAGCCTTCCCAGGAAACGTGTGCAGTTTTTGAACTTGTATGTCCACGCCTGAGTATTTTATTTTAGACAACTTGGTCACGGCCATTAGCAAGTTTTATTATATGTCTTGCTGAAAAAAGTTTTAAAAACAAAGCAAAATAACAAAATAGGAAATTAAAATAAACTTTAATAGAAAATAATAATAACAAAAATTTAAATAATTATTATGTTAATTAACAAGAATCGTAGTTAAAAGATGCTAATTTTACTTTAACTTCAAACATCTTCAACTCCAAAATTTAAATCAACTTAGGGTGCTAACCAAACCCTAGCCCTCCTTTAAAAGAGTAATCTATTCCACACCTAAATACTTCCTTATTCTGAATACCCCTAATATCTATCATTAAAGTTTCACCATAGCATATATGAACATATATAGACAAATATTGTTATATGTAAACTACCTGGGTGAACATCTGGCCATTTGCTGAAACCACCAACTATAGTGTCTTGCGTTGAAATTATAAATTCATTATTTGATTCAAAGTTTGAATATTTAAGAAAATCTAGCATCTAAAAAAAAAAAATTTTATTGGTTAGGGTAAACTGGGGTAAAGTGAACTAGGGGTAAAGTGAACTATTTTTTTAAACTAAAAAGTTATCATGTTTAAAAAACTTTTTGTTAAGTAATTTAGCATTATTTTTGCTTAATACAACATTTTGAAATTTTTTAAATAAAAAAATTAATAAAATATAGCCTTTGTTTTGATGTAATAGCCATTTTAAAAAGCGAGTTTGGCGGAAGTTTTAAAATTACGATCTCAAACTTTGCTATGGGTTTTAGTAAATTCATGATTTGTTGTTATTAATGCGAACATCAGTTATATAATTTATATACATTTTAAAGATAATATAATGCTGTTAAAAAAAAATTGTAGTTTTTATCATAATATAAAAAAGCTAAGCTTTTAGTTTGTAAATCAATTTAGTTCACTTTACCCCTTATTTTTCTGCCTATTGGGGGTAAAGTGAACTAGTCTTTTTCTTATGTTTTTTCATCAAATATTTTTAGTAGAACTGAATATATAAATTGTAATTACTTAACTAAATTGTTTACTCTTAAAATAAGTTGTTTTTTTTTTAAATATTCTTAAAATTATTTTCAGAAATATAATATATTGAAATAATGCCAAGAAACTACATTAAGAAAAAAGAATCTCGAAGAAAAACATATGCACCTAATTTGTTGCAAAATGCCATTTCGAAAGTTAAAAATAAAGAAATGACTTCGTATGCTGCATCAAAAGAATATGGTGTTCCAAGAAGTACAATTGCAAGACATCTTCTAGGCATAAAATGCTCAAAAGTTGGTGAAGGGCGACCAAACCGATTATCTGCTGATGCTGAAAAAAATCTTGTTTCACTTTTATCTGCATTTTCTGATTTTGGATTTGGATTAGATAAAAAACAATTTATGAAACTTGTTCAAACGTATATTGAATTAAACGGATTTCAGAAAAAATTTGTTAATGGTGTTGCTGGTGATCAGTGGTTTTGTAATTTTTTAAATCGTTGGCAGAAAGAAATATCTATAAGAACTCCAGAGCTTTTGACATTAACAAGAGCCTTAGCTTGTAATAAAACTGTAATTGATGCTTGGTTTTTATTACTTAAAGCAACATTGGAAAAATGTGACATTATGAATAGACCTGCCCAAATACTAAACTGCGATGAAAGTGGGTTTTGCACTAACCCAATAAATAAAAAAATTATTTGCAAAAGAGGTATTAAAAACCCTGTATCTATTGCTCCTGGATCAGGAAAAGAACAGTTTACTGTACTAGCAACAATATCAGCTGCAGGAAGAAATTTTCCTCCATTTATTTTATTTGCTGGGAAGAATTTGTATAAAGAGTGGATGACTGGTGGACCAAATGGTTCCTTATATGGGGTGACAAAAAACGGTTGGATGGAAACAGAAGTTTTCACTGAATACTTTAACCATCTTGTTTTATGGTTGAAAGACACACCCAAGCCTGTTTTGCTTATCTTTGATGGTCACATTAGTCATATTTCTTAAGAAACTGTTAAAAAAGCAGTTGAAAATCATATAACTATTTTGTGTTTGCCAGCACACTGTTCGCATTTGCTTCAGCCACTTGATGTAGGAGTCTTTCGCCAAGTTAAACATGTATGGCGTGAAATTCTGGCCAATTGGTATACCGAGTCAAGGCTGAAGGTGGTTGGGAAATCTGTTTTTCCATCTTTATTAAAAAAACTTTATGATACCTCCTTTGAGCCAGCTCATTTAGTACAATCCTTTGCCAAAACTGGAATTTTTCCCTTTGATCCATCTGCTATAGCATCTGACAAGTTAAATCCTTCTGAAATCTATGAACACCCTTTTTCTCAGAAAACAAATAACTATAATAATAACGTCCCTCAAAACATCGTTTTAGACACCAATGTCAATGATCAGAACGATACTTGTGAAAATTTTTCTATTGAATCAACAAATAAATACAATTCACAAAAAACTATAATATCAGTAGGAAAAGACTTAAACAATGAAAAAATAAATCAACTATCAATATCAAATGTAGATTGTTCTACTGGAAATAAAATCATTAGAGAAATAGTGAAAGAACAGTTAATGGCCACAAAGGGTGATGGTCGTTCATACAACAAACGACCTACAAAAAAAATAAAAAGACACTATGGAGGTGAGTGTCTTACATCAGAAGATGCATTTAAAAGATTAAATGATGAAGAAAACGAATGCTTTAAAAGAAAGATCAAGCAGCAAGGCAAAATACAAAATAAAAAAACTAATTTATTAGAAATAACAAACACAAAAGAGTTAAAGATGAAGTAGTTCACTTTACCCCAATGTGGGGGTAAAGTGAACTAGTGGACATGTTTTTTTTGAATATATATTTAATATTGTAAAAGTAGCTTTTAATCTTAGTATTTTGTTTTATATTGTACCTAATACTTTAAATGGTATAAATTTTGAAAACTGCAAAATGTTTTGGCTTTTATTTTGAAAATATTTCCTTTAAATATCAAAAACAGTTCACTTTACCCCAGTTTACCCTACTTTTTTAAAATGATTTTATTAACTAATTTTACTTTCTTAATTCTCAATTACTTAGTTCCCAGTTCTCAATTACTAAGTCCCCAGTTCTCTAATCATATTGTTCTCATAGTAAACCAAGTTTTTTATGGAAATTATGTTAAATACAATAACAATTATGATTATTATGGTTCACAGAAGAAACGAGCAATTATTATTTCTAAAAAGAAAAAATATTCAAAGCTTCCGTATTATTTTTTTAAACTTGTTTAAACTCTATCAAAATAAGTATTCTGAGAATTTTAAAAAACTACCTTTAGAGAAGCCCCAACCCAAAATGAATAGCAAGTATCTACAGGTTTATTTGGTCTTCCTTGAAAACCACTTTTTTGCCGTTTTAAACACCATCTTTTTAAAAATTTGATTTCTTTTTCATTAAAACATTCTTCTAGTTTATCCATTAAAATCAAAGATGCAACTCCACAATATGTAGAACCTCCTGAAATTAAATGTAAATCAAAAAGTTGAATATCTTAATTGTTAATTAAAAACTAGACCATCTCTCTTTATGTATATATATACAAACATAAATATATATACAACAAAGAAGCTGACTTTTTTTCTATATGGTATTTTCAGAAAATGAAGAAAAAAATGAATAATAAAAAAACCTCTACTTATTCATAAATTTGCATGAGAGTTGCTGCAACATTACTGCAACACTGCTGCAACATTACTACTACATCAAATAAGGCTCAATGTAGCAGTAACTCCTTTGCAAACTTATAAATAAAGTTTAAACTATATTGAATAACTACTGCTTGATACATTAATAAAAAGGTATTTGCTGTTTCTAAATTTCTTAAAATAGAGTTAAAAAAGTTAAAAATTTGATATAATTTTACAGTTGGTTATAAAAGTTCACAACACAGTAAATAACATACTTTTGAAATTAAACAAGATTATAATGGATTATGGTTTGATATTGAAATATCTACACATAATATGTGGCTGTAATTTTATTTCAGCATATGAGGCTGTAATTTTAATTCAGCATGTTGTAATTATTTTAGGAGATTTTTGTATAAACTTACATAGCTGATTTTCGAAATTCTTTTTGTATGAACTTTTTTTTGTATTCAATTTTTACAAAACTAATATTAATTTTCTTAATTACTTTTATAACACAGTTATTGACTATAGTGTTTTTCTTTTTGTAGTAGTAAATTTATTGTTTTATTTTTTATAATTTTATCACTAACAAATTTAATTTGATTCGCCCCATGAAAAAAAAGTACACAATTTTGCATAAACTAAAATTATGAAGACCAGATATTTTTCCAGATATTGGATTCGCAAATCAACTCTTGTACATTTTATATATTCTCAATTACATTTTATAAATTCTAAATTACATGTTGTGTTTTTCAATTACATGTTTAGATTTTTTAATTACAGCTTTTGTGTTCTTAATTACATCTTGAAAAGTTGTACTGATCCATTGCAGCAACCTTATATCTTGTTCAAGACAAGGTACAACCAATTATGATACAATTACAAACAATCATGCTAATACAATGAATACCTATTGCACTCATCGTTCACAAATAAAAACAGTTGAGAACCTTAGGTTATTGTAACTTTTAAAAATTTATGGAAATGATTTTAATTATTGTTAAGGTAGAAACATTATAACTCAATAATTTGTGACAAAAAAGAAACATTTGTTGTAACGGGGGCGACTTAAAGAATGAGACAATTCATAAACTATTAAAATTTCTAACAAATTTTTTTCTATTTTTTAAATTTTTTTCCCTCTATTTAAGTGAATGGTTGAGCAAAAAAAAATTGGAATGGTTTAAATATTTCTCAGATTCAAAAATGACAATTGACCTCAGCATCAGAAAACTAATTAAATCTTACATTGACTCTGGTTTTGATGCTTCCAAAATCTACAATAAGCTCAATAAAACTGTTTCCAGAGCAACAGTTTTTAGATGGGTCAGTTGCATAACTCACTGCCGAATATCAACCAAAAAATCTTTTGGACGACTGAAAAGCGTGAGAACAAAGTCGCTTAGTACAAAAGTAAAACAAAATGTGTGTTTGAACAAAAAAAGAAAATCGGCTAGAAAAATTGCAAAAGAAAATGAATGCTCAGCTAGAATTGAGCATCCATTTTCTTTTGTAATTTTTCTAGATATCAAGAGCAATCCAAGAAGACTCAAGTTTGAAAGCATACAAAAAAATTAGAGTTCCTGCCTTGACTGTCGAGCACATTTCAAAAAAAAAGTCATTTTCCAACTGGATCAGAAATCACTTCAACAGTGAATCTTGCGATTCAATCTTGTTTTCTAATGAAAATGTCTTTGATCAAAATAGACAATTTAACAGAAAAAATGATATTGTGTATGCTCAATCAAGATCAGCAGCAAATTAAGATGTTGCTATCAGAGAGGAGCGTAAGTATGCATTCAAAGTCATGGTTTGGATTGGGCTTACTTAAAATGGTCCAACTAAAGTAGTTATTTTAGCAGAAAAATCGAAGTTTAATACAGATTTTATATTCAAAAAGTTCCAATTGTTAAAAGGGATGGTATTAGATGATTGGAGCCAACTTTATGTTCCAACAAGATGGTGCCACATGCCATACAAGCAAAAAGACCATCAGTGCTATCGATAAGATTGGATTATTAGTTATTGCACTGAACATTTAGCCTCTAAATTCCCCAGACTTTGAAAAGCAAAAAGTATCAAAACAGGAAAGAATTGGTTGAAAAAATTAAAGAAACAATTCAAGAAATAGTGATAAAATTATCAAAGATTTGATTGATAATTTTTGCTCTTGAGTTTATGCTGTTGAGAAGAAGTTGAGAAAGAAGGTTGCTGTTGAGAACGAAGGCTGATTTTAAATACAGTTGAACTTTACGAACAACAGTTTATCTCTTTTTTTAGCGTTTTCAATTTTAAAATATGCATTTTTATCAGACCAATATTGTTTAAATTTTTGTTTTACAGTAGAAGTTATTAAAGTTCTACCACTTGATTGGTTGTTATCACCACCACTTGATTGGTTGTCACCACTTGATTTCCACCACTTGTTGGAAACATCAGACGTCATAATCTTAAGAGAAGGAGGAAATATTTTATATGTAAGAGAGTGCTAGATAATTTATTATATTTAGACAGATGACCAGTATTGAAGGGTGGTATTTAATTGGGAAGTATTCTTCAGTGATTGAGTTAAAGTTACGTGAGTGTTTTTTAAGTTTCCGTTGAGTAAGGTGAGTAAGCATTGTTATAGTGTTCCGTGTGTTGTGTTAGTTATTGTGTTTTGTGTCTTGAGTTTACAGTGTTAAAAATGTTGGAGTATAATACCTTATTTAGTGTCTCTATTTGTATATAAATCTGTCCTCTGAAATACTTTGGTTCTCCATTTTATTTTAGCTTTGATGTTATATGTTCTTTTTGATCATAATCCTTCCTATTTCTGCTATTGGCTTGCAGTGGAAACTATTAAAGTTCCACCATTTATCTGGAACCATCAGGCCGCAATACTCTTAAGAGAAGGAAGAAATGTATTATATAAGTGAGCAGGAGTGCTAGATAAATTATAATATTTGGACAGGTGTCCAGTATTAAGAAGTGGTGTTTAAGAGAGGAGTATTATTCAGTAGTTAAGTTAGAGTTTAGTGAATGTTGATTAAGTTAGATTTAAGTAGGTGTTGTTTCAGTGTTCTGTAAGTTTTTATAAATTATTGTGCTTTGTCTTTTTAGTGTTCTAAATGTTAAAGTTTTATATTTCATTTAATATCATTATTTGTATTTGTAATCTGTATGTTCGTAAATACTTTGATTTTTGAATTATAGCCATATTAAACATACATTATACATGCGTATTATGGATGTCTCATGGATGGTATGGATTCTGTGATCTGATGTGATTCATGATATAGTTCAAAATAGTAAATTGACATGGTTTAGGTAGAGTTGTTTGTGCTATATTTAATTTTCATTTAGTCAATATGTTTCAATGCCGTTCTTCGTTTTACATTTATTTTTAAAACTAACTTTTGTATATTTAAATACAGATATATGGTGTAATTTTAAACTTAGTTTAATTTATTTGATTATTAGTAAAATAATTTGTTTTAAACTTAGTTCCTACTTAGTTCAATTTATATGTTCTATTTAAGATACTAATTTTATATTCAGCTTATATGCAAATTAAAATATACATTTAGTTGTAGGTATTCTCTTACTATTTACTTTAAACTAATACTGTATATTATCAATATTCGTTTTATATTAAATTTATTTTATTCTAGTTGAACGGTCTAGTAATGGTACTCGTTTTGTTTGTGGTTTATATTCAATTTAATTTTTTACGGTTTATTGAAATTATTTGTTTTAGCTTATGTTTATATCTAAATTATGTTTATATTGTGTGGAGCAGCTGTTCGTTTTAAATTTAGCTTATATATATAACTAAATTTATTTTATGTGCTTTAATATAAATATTAGTAATTTTTGTTTTTAATTTACTTTAGATGGTTTAATGAAAATATTTGTTTTTATGTTTGATTTTTAATGTTTAAAACCAAACAGTTATGATTGCCATCTTTGTGATAATTTGATCACAAGATAATGTGATAAACAAATAACATAATGTTATAAAATTACCAATTTTATTATACATAGGGGACAACAAAAGCAGTATTATAAAAAACAGCGACAATAAACATAATTTAATAACGAAAGCACGCACAGAGTTTCTTACAGAAAAAGTATACTACTATTTTGCAGTGGAAGCTATTAAAGTTCCACCATCAGGCCGTGATAGACTTAAGAGAAGAATGAAATGTATTATATACGTGCAAGGGAGTGCTAGATAGATTATAATCTTTGGGTAGCTGTCCAGTATTTAGAGGTGGTGTTTAAAAGGGGAGTATTATTCAGTGATTAAGCTAGAGTTAAGTGAGTGTTGTTTAAGTTAGACGAGTGTTGTTTAAGTTAGATTTAAATGAAGTGTTGTTTTAGTGTTCTGTAAGTTTATGTAAATTATTGTGCTTTGTGTTTGTAGTGTTTTAAATATTAAAGTTTTATATGTCCTTTATTTGTATGAATCTGTATGTTTGTAAATACTTTGACTTTCAGTCTGATTTAGTTTTGATGTTATTATGTTCTTTTTAATCGTAATCTTTCCTGTTTATTTGTCTCATCTGTTATTCAAGTTCTATTTTCCTTCATTTTCCGTATTTTTCTGTTTACATTTTATAATTAATATTGTTTCAGTGGAAATATTTGTTTTACCCATAGTTTCTATTTTATAATTGATATCTTTATGGTGTACATATTTGTTTTACTATACTATAATTAATACGCTTTGATTATTATTTACCTATTCGATTTACACCCTGTTTATAATTTATAATTCATATCCCTTTTGTGGAAGAATTCGTTTACTTCCAATTGGTATTCTAAAAAGTTGGGTTATGGGTTATAGAATTTAGTGCTCCCTTTATGGAATTATTATCTTGTGGTGACTGTTATTATGGATGGGCCTTGTGAAAATTATGTTGTTTTTAGTTTTATTTTTGATTTTAAAGTTTTCATTTTTTGTTGCTATTTTTGTTAGTAATTCTTTAAAAAATGACCCAGGATTTTTCAGTATATCTAGGTCCTAAATTACAAACTCCTCATAAATAGTGCTTTGTAATATTTGCACTACATAAAGTAATTCTAATTTTTATAAAACAAACAATACACCATGAAAATGAAAGTTTTCAGAAAACTTTTTCATATTTGCCAAAATTAATGCAACTTTAAGGATTTTGTTCTAAACATTTAGTTCTTGCAGATTTAAATGCATAATATTTGCTTTCTCAAATAAATTTGAAATATCAAAAGTTATAAAAAATTAAAAAATCAATATAGATTTGATATTCGAAAAATTTTTGTTATTGGAAAAGTTTTGGTGTTCAAAAAATTTAGTTTAATAGCGGTTTTACATACTGATGTCAAAAATTGTGGAATCTAGTATATAACATCAGCCCAGTCAACAATATTAGTTTGATAAAATGAGGTTGGCATATTATTGTCGACCTCATTTTATCAGACCAATTGCAAATTGCAAGTTTTCTGTTTATAAAAAACTACTCAAGTTGGCAAAGTCTAGATTTAAACCTAAACCCCTGTTAATTTTACTAATCATAAGTTATAGATGTGCACTATCTAACCAAACAACTTTTTTTTTTTAATAATTTTTTACCATGTGCCTCCAATTGTGGTCCTTGGGATAATCCATAATCATATGACTAAAAAAATATAATGATTAGCAATTTAAACTTGATTTAAATTTAAAAATTGAAAAAAAAAATTTTTTTTTCTCAAAGAAAAAGATGTATTGAATATATTAAAATGATGATTTGAAAAGCTGTAAAAAAAATGTCTACATTAAAATTTAACGACACTTTTAAAATATAAAATATATGTAAACTAAATTTTTAATAAATAAACATACATACATGTACTAAAAAAAAAAAAGCTCACCATACTCATGCGAATATAATTTACAGCACTCGTTTTATCTAAACCATTCCAATCTTGAAGAATATAAGAAATACAACAAGCACAATATAAAAAGCGCATGTCATTTTCATTTTTATCTTGAGTGGAATAAAAACTAAATAAACAGAAACTTTAATTTAAAACATATTTAAAACATGATTTTGAACCAAAAGAAAAAAACTGAAACCTTGAATTCTACCTCCCATCTTCTTTTTGAAGAAACTTAATTCCATTGATAATTGCATTACGATTGACACGTGAAAGATCATCTCCTAGTATAATCAATGAGCACAAGGCAGTGTAGGTCATTGCAATGTGTGAGCTTTCATACAACTCTGATACTGAAAAAGATCCCTGAAAATCAAATTTTATAATAAAATCAATTTAAAGTAACAGATTAATAAAAACTATTAAATATAAAACCTTAAACTGAAATAACTGTCAAACTGTAAACTGAAACAAGTTGACTGTCAAACTGTAAACTGAAAGAAATTGATTGTCAAACTGTAAACTGAAAAAAGGTCAAATCATCTTGTTTATATTATAAAATAAGCTCCAACTTGACCCATTTAAACTTTTTTTTCATTACAAATTGTTAATTTATTCACTATAAAACGCTTGTTTGTTTTTTTTATTTCAATTATTTTATTTAGAAATTAAATAAACCATCCCCTTTTTTGTTTTTGTTTTAAATATTTTATTTAGAATTTAAATAAAATGTTAATTTTTCTTTTTTTAATTTATTCGAAAATAAAATTAAGTATTAAAATTAAACATGCCAGACATCTTCAAAATTCCTTATTTTGATTTTTCTTATCTACAAAAATGTTTATTTTCTACTTTTTCTCATTTTGAATATTTTACTCTCTTTTAATCTCAATTTGAATTTTTGATGTGACTAGACATTTAACAGATTTATAAAGCTTTCAGTGCATAGATTCAAAAACCTGTGCGAAAAAACCTATGAGTTATTTTACATAAGGCAGTTAACGATTGGTGTACTTATTCTCAGTTTAATGATTAGTGTATTATTCAACATTTCTCTTTACATCAGTTCATGATGTGAAGAGGAATGTTGCGACACACTACCTTAACCACTAGAAAGACTCCAAATAAAACTTGCAGCTTTAATTTGCACTACCTGTCTTCCATTCCTCAACAGTATGATGAACTTAACTGGTCAATATTTGTGGGGAGAAAATAAAAACCATTTCTTTTCAAAACTTTTTATGGCGCTTACTGACAATAAATTGACTAAAAAAGTCAACCAATTTTTCCTAATCAGAGGGCACAGCTTTTTGCCTTTTGATTGTAGATCTTCTCAATTATAAAAAGAGAGTTAAGAAGACACGACAGAATGTACAGCATTCAAGAAATAAAAGAAATTATAATAAAAATTATAACTAAAGAAAGTTTTTAGAGAATTCATTTCTAGTTAAAAGAAATGTGACCTCAGTCGAAAAAATGAGTAAACCCAGAAACCAACAAACTCTGTTTGCAATAAGCAAATTTCACCATTTACAATATGGTTGTGAGATTACAGGTCAATGTAAAGCTTATGAAAATATTAATGGTATTGACAAGCATACTTTTAAGATGGGAAAAAAATACTCCAAAAAGTGTGAACGTGCCAGAACAGCTTATTTACCTAAACAAACAGATTCCAATAAAATCTGCTGAATGACTTAAAAAAGTATTGATAAAATATTTTCGGAATAATACCCCCTCTACCTCCCCCCTACCTAACCCAAACCCAAGCCCCATCCACTCCCTTCACCATTCCTGTAATTAAAATGTGTTCTGGGAATGCGTGGGCCCTTTTTTTATCTTATTTCCTCTTCCACTCCACTTCAGCGCTGGATAGATTATTTGGACAGCGCCAAAAATAAAATAAAAAATTTATTTTTTGATACACAAGTAAATCGAGAAAGCAACTAATATTTTAAATCAATAAAGCATTTCTTAAACACAAGCGTATTTTTATTGTTATTTATTTATAAACAAAAGAAAAAATACTTTTATAAATACTCCTAAAATAATCTTTAATATTAAATATGAATGTTAGTGAAAATAAACAACTTTAAATTATTTTTTTGTTAACTTTCCTAGGTGAAGAAGTCAAGTATAAAACATCTTTTAAAAAGATAAAAAAACTAATGTAAATTCTCGCATAAGATAAAACAGTTTGTCTTATTATTAATTAGACACACTGCTTTGTGTTTTATATTAATTACAACTTAGAGGTAAAATAAATATTTTAATTTTATTAATTATAGTTTAACTCTGATGTTAGGATTTCTTTTTTTCAGCCCCTCGACAAAACTTTCAAGAACCTCTTCTTTGAATCCTTGTTCAGGTCTTTTGGTTGATACCATCAAAAGACTTTCAAGTGTACTCTGAGACAACTGGTTGCGTAGTCGATTTTTACTAGTTTTAATTTAGAAAACAGCCTTTCCCACTCCTTTCGCATTGAAAATATTAAATACTTAAAACCCTCAAATTTGACTTTCATTTTTTCCGGATCTACATCTCTGTCTTGTTGCACGGTTTGACTGAATTGATTACTTTCACGAAGGTTCCCATAGTGATTTAATAATGTTGACAACTCTGCATTGCCATAATCAATCAGATCAGCCATTTTTGTAGGAAAATTGCGAGGATCAAAAACCGATAAACATTTCCAAAATTTCATTTGTTCAAATGTTTTCGTCAGCTCAATTTTAAAAGAACTTAACAATGTTAAATAAATACTTTTTTCAAAGTTTTCCAATGTTATTTTTTCCTTGCGCAATCGACTTAATGTAGGTAGAGATGCGCAAATGTCACTGGCAGTAGATTTCATGTTTTTGTAATTTTCTAATGTAAAGAATTTTCTTACTGATCCGTTTAAATTTGCATTTAAATTCAACTCTGTTTGTTCAACGTATATAGGAATATCACTCAAAGAAATACTTTTTGTGATGACTGCAGAGAAAATACAAGAGGACCAATGGCGGAAAAAACATCTAACAACATAAGTATAGACAGTATTGTTACTTTACTTGAAGCTTGCATAAACAAACCAAGGGCTTCTGCTTCTTTTCGCTCACTATAGCAAGTACAGAAGGCAATTAAAAAGTTGTTATAGTTGCCGAAAAAAGTCAAGCAGGCTATTTGGTGAGCTGTCCATCGAGTTGTACTTGGGCATATAGACACAATGTTATCAATATCGCCATAAATATTGGCACTTTCCTGCAGCAAACTCATTGCTGTTGTTCGATATTTTAAAAAATTTCTTAAGATTGAGAAGAAACACATTGGCTTCCTTTACACATTCAAAGTCAGATAGAAGATGTTTAAAGCATAATGCTAACCTGTGGCTACTACAGCCAACCCAAATTAGTTGTGGGACTGAATGTTCTAAGTATGCCTTTAAACCCCCTTTCCCTCCTGAGTTCACATTGGTTGTATCCATCATGCATAACGAGCGTTGTGCAATGGAACATCTATTGATATAAAAAAATCTTCAATAACTTTAAATAAGTTTTTGGCAGATAAGCTTGTCCCAACTAGTTTACTTAACGGTAGCAGTCCAACAAAATGTTCTTTTACTGAACCACAATGTTCAAAATGTGCATAAATAACTAGTTGTTCAACCGATGTAATATCTGAGATCTCATCTGAATAAAATGCATATTTTTCCCCTCGAAGTGACTCAAGCAGCAGACGCTTGACAAAGTCGCATATAATATTAATACATTTAGATGTATACATGGATGACATATAGGTAGCATTTCCAGGTGCGAGTAATAGATGAGATTGTACATCTTTTCCCCCATATTGCACAATAAGCTCTATTAATTCTTTAAAGTTATGAGTATAAGCCTAATTCTTCATAATAAGTAAATGAGTTACACAAAAAAAAGACTTCAGAACAAATCTTGTTTTTGAATCTCTAACATTTTTTTGTGCAAGATTATTCTCACAAATCCTTTTCCAAACATCTGTGTCTCTTTTACTCAACTCTTGGAATGTTTGTTTTTTATTGCATTTTTATGTCGAACCGATGATAAATGGGCAGATGAACGTTCAACTGGATGATCTGCAAACATTCCTGGCTTTTCAATAAAAGCCCTTGAACCACCATGAGCGGCAAATTGCACGTTTTACAAAACCAACCATTTAACGCTGACAAAAAATAAAAATCGGTAAATAGTCTCTCGTACTTTTCAGTCGACTTCAAACGTAAATCAAGTTTTGGTTTCTTAGTTAACGATTCATTTTTTGTAACATCAGGATCTACCTGGAGTTTATAATAAAAAGAAAATATGATTTGGGAATCATCAACTTTTACTATTTACGAGTTGTCTACAAAAAGCGTTGTTACGCTGAATTTACCTAATAGCTAGAAGTAGGAGATTAATGGCTCTTGTGTGCAGAGATTTTTAAAGTAATATAGCGATTTATGAAAGCTTCCTCGGAAAAGGGCCAATGATCTTCTACTTATTATTATTTAAATAGACGTGCTTTGTGGACAAATCCTTACACTAAAATGTAATAGATTGTGTCATCAAAAGGAATGTTTTAATAATAGAAAAATAGAAAAAGTTGCAATAAAAATGAACACAACCTAGTAAATTTCATAATTCACATTTATTGCGAGTTCAATTTTATAATTATATATAATTATACATGTTATACATAAATGGCATAGCAAAACAAAGTCTCACCAAAAGCATAAACAAAATGTTTAATTACAAAAGAATGTTGGTGCCAAGGATTGCATTATATCGTTGCAGCAAATAACACTAATAATTATTTTTTCATTCATAGTCATAAAATGTTATAAAATTTTCATTCAAACATTTGCTTTTACATGGTTCATTCAAACATTTGCTTTTACATGGTTCATTCAAACATTTACTTTTACATTTTAAATTCAAGCATGCGGTGAATTTAATTTTTTTGTTATTTAAATTTTTTGGTATCAATTTGTTATTATAAAAAAAACGTTCTTGTTATTAAAAGTATTAAAGTTACGTTTTAATATACATATTTAGTTTATGTTTTAATTACAAGCAAGCAGTAAAATAAAGAAATCTAATTTCTTCGTTAAACAATTTTTAGTAACAGTTTGTTATAATTACATTACATTTTTTGTATTTAACTTATATTTCTAAAAAATTATAGTCAATATGATCATGTAATTCAGTTGATATAAAATACCAAACAAACAAACAAAAAAAACATTAACTAAAACTTACCGTAATATCCGCATTGATTGAAATTTCAAAATTATCTGACGTAAACGGGTTCTCGGTATTTTGAATCAACCTTGTTAACAAAGTAGATTGTAATGTTTTGTCTTTATATTT